AGGACTCTACACTTACCCGCTTGCCCAGCCTCGAGGAAAAGCCATGTGTGATGAGGTGAGGCTTAGCCTCAGACATGGTGCCCAGGTTGGGGATATCGTGCCGCATGACCACGTTGCAGAGTGTGAAGTAAGCAGTAGGGCCAAAGGGCAGGTGGCTGACAATAAGCCCCACTGTGGGAACCAGGCAGGTTGTCAGACACCCAGTCTGCCTTCAGTCCATCCCTGGCCCCTTCTTCCTCCCACTAGCCTCACCAGGTGTGCCTCGATGCTCATGGACAACCAAGAGGTCGGTGACCCCATTGGCTTTGCAAGCTCGCACTAAGGCCCCCACCTCATGATGGCCTCGGTTCATGCGCTGGGCACCTGGGAACACCAGCTTCAGCTCCTGCACATGGAACATAGTGTACAATCAGGACTGGGGACACTGATCTTGGGCACCTCCCACTCCCTGCCCACTGGTACCTTTGCAAACATCTTCAGGCGGGAACTGGGGTCTCGGGAGGTAGTGATCATGACCTTGGGATCCTCCACCCCTGCCCATCGATATTCATCATCTACGTGGCTTGTTACACCTGTCAGGAGCATGAGAAACAAGAAGGTGACATTGTCTTATGAGTTAAATGCTAACCGAGAGCAACCAAGTTGGCCTGAGGAAACCTTAATGACAGAAATGCACCACACCCACAATAGCTGAGAGGGCAGCCACCAGCCCACTATCTACCAAGCATAGGTGGAAGTGAGGAATGTAATTTCTATGTTTTCAAAAGTCTGATCTAAGACCACAGGTGATAAACTCCTTTCCCATTTGTTAAATAATGTAACAAATGAGACATTTTGGTGCCAGTGATGTGCTAAGTGTTAGGAATACTGTACTGTAGTGGCAGACGTCCCACTGCGGGAGACAATTAATGAAGAAACAAACCAGAGAATAAGTAGAACACTATTGTTGTGTAATTGGATCTGTGTGACCCAAGGAGGTCCTTCTGGTGGCATCTATGCAGACATGAGGCTGGAACAGTTCTAAGAGTAGTTGTGAATACTTCCCTCGGTTGGAAAAGTGCCAGTTGTGTGTGAGAAGAACATGGAGACTAGGTGTCAGAGAAGTCACTTCAGTGTTGGGAAGACTACATGGGTACCTTCACCACCGGCATCATCGAATTCCAGGGACCCCTGTAAGGCCAAAGCTTCTCGGCGTAACTCGGTGGGAATCAGACGGTTTTCTGTAGGTGGAAGACAGAGTAGCTTTCAATTTATATAACATTCTGTAGCTTATAAGCCTGTACAAATGTAATGGAAAGACAACTTTCTGAGCAGAGGCAATAGAGGGAGGGAAATGACAAACCAATTTCATTATTTAATTATTTTTTAGATGGGGTCTCAAGATTCTCCTGCTTCAGCCTCCTCCAAGTGTATACAGGAATGTATC